CACACACACACACACACCCACGCACGCACGCACGCACGCACGCACGCACGCACGCACGCACGCACGCACGCACGCACGCACGCACGCACGCACGCACGCACGCACGCACGCACGCGCACGCACACACACACACACACACACACACCACACACGGCACTTCAGCCTGAGTCCTTCGTCAGTTCTCGTGTTTTCGAGACCCTGGCAGCTGTTGCAACGAGGAGGATCCAGAACCTCCTCAAGACTTGCTTCTCCTCAGAAACACACACCCAAGGCTTTATTCAAGCTCACACGGCTTCACTCAACTCACTCATCGCCCTTCACTCTTCACTCAACCCTCTCCGATGCCAACGCCTCCTGCTGCAGGTCGTCGCAGCGTTGGTAATGGGCATCGTCTTGCACCACTGCCGATGTTCCCTGCTCCAAAACCCAAATCGCACATCGCAGAATCCGAAAATCCCTTCCGTCCTTCCGGAAGAGCCGGGCCATGCGAGAGAGGGGTGTCTTGGTGGTTGGCGAGGCCTTGGCTGAGCTCAGCTGGGCAACTCCAACCAACTCGAAGAGATTCTCTCTGAAGCTCTGCTTTGAAGCTCTGCTCAGGCTCCCTGCAGGATAGGCCGCACTGGACGCATCCTGGGAAACTCATGAAAAAACGGCTTCAGTTCCCAGATGTCCCCTGCAATGCCTGCCCCGCGAGGCCTGTCGGAAGCTGAAGCAAAGGCAAGGCAACAACAAGGCAACAACAAGGCAAAACATGAAAGCAGCGCAAGAAACGCAAGCAGCGCAGAACGCAGGCCTTCCAAGTACGGCATGGATTGAAGGGAGTCGGTCTTGCCCCAGTGCTTGAGCATGCCGCATGCCACACGTCGCGCAGGTTTCTGTTGCACGAACTGGCTACCAGAATAAGGTAGCAACAACATCCAAAGCATGACATGAGCGCAGCCTGCTTATGGCAACATGCTACACACGATAGGGTATGACAGGAGACCAAACCAACGTTCAAACCCCGAAGCCGGCCCCGGCACCGGAGAGCCAGGGAAGAAAGGCCGGACCAAGCCAGCCTCTTTGAGCCTCCTTTCGGAGGAGAGCTGCTGAAGCAGCTACTAAAGTTCTTCACGTTGTCGTTGGTCGGTTACGCGAGTCGGTTACGGCTACAACTCGCCATAGCGTTGGTAAAAAAATGGTCGTGGCAACTGCAACAGCACTGCAAAATGTCAGGGGTGATTAGGCTTTAAACCTGTAACACGCGTCGGTTACGATCCCGCCCTAAATAAGCCGTTCATTTTTGGGGGTGTTCGCCGAGTGACTTCGTTGAAGCCCATGTTTCCTGCAAGTGCCACCCTAATCATCTGACCACGAAAGGGAGCTTGCGTGCAAGCCAGAACTGCAGAGGCATCCTGCAAGCTTTGGCTGGTTCAATCTGTTGCTGTCTTCCTATCCAGCCCCGGCCCTTTGATCCCAGGACAGGCCATTTGGCCTTCCAGGATTTTGAAGATTGGAGGGATCGGAAGCGGAAAACGGCAGTGCCTGCCTGAAGCAGGGCTTAGGAGCGCCAGTGTTCAGAAGGGGCCTTGTGGCTATGGCGGCTCTGCTGACCGTGGTTGCTATGGCTTGGATGAAGGTGAAGAACTCATGGCGCATCTTTGGGGCTGCCCCCTCGTGAGACGTTGAACCTTGCTTGCAGCTCTGAAGCTCTCAGTTGTGATGCTTCTTGATGCCTCCTCTCACGGCGACTCCCTGGGTGGTGGAAGCAACTCCATTGTGGAGGTCAGTGCACTTCTCCAAAGAGAAGTCCTCACAGACAGCTTTGCCAAGAGATGCAAACATCGAGGCAAACATGCCTTTTGTTGGATTCCTCCTTAGGGTGCTTCGACTCAAAGTGCATCTGCATCGACTTCCTGAGCTGTACAGAAATCTGTATCATGGCAGTAACGTCCCAAGTGTAACCAAGGCTCGGGTCGGGGGCCGACTGCATGCAAATGTTGCACTTGTACTTGGAGTGGCCCGCAGAACCGCCCTGCCTGTCCTGGATTTCAAGACTTCTCCAACTTCTGAAATCGCTTCTTCTCTTCTTCGCTTCTTCTGGGCTGAGAGGTTCTGCCTTGAGGCCGGCTGCGCCACCGCCCCTGTTGCAGGTGGCGTCCTTCTCCTTCCCAAGTAAATGCATCTGTGAGCTCGTGAGCTCAATATGCTCACTTTATGGCACTTTATTAGTCACTTGCACTCGTCGTCTGACTGGGCATTGGTGCAATTGGTCCTTCTGCGCCAGCTCCTTGGCAGTATGCTTGGTGGGCTTAGCTTTGCCACCCATGCCTGCAAGGCCGCAAGGCTGCAAGGCAGAGCACGCCCAGAGCACGACCACTCTCTGCCTCCCTTGCCTAAAACGGCCGCAGGCCCCGCCCCCCCAGCTCAGCTTGAACCACAGCTCGCAACAAGCTTCAGCTCCTCTTTGACTCCAAACTCTCTGGACCCCAGAGGACCCCTGGACTCTGGACCTGACTTTACGGCGCTGAACTGCGCTGCGTAGAGCCCGCAGAGCATTGCTGCGTGGTGAGACGGTGCCGGTCTGCTGGCCCTGCGCCGGCCCTTACTGCTCTCACCGGTGGAAGGTGGATGCAAAAGCGATGCTGGGCCTCGTTCGGATGCAAATGAGTGCCCAACACCGTCATTTGTTCACAGACATCTGAAAGAAAAATGCAACAAAATCACCATCTGCGTCTGCCCTCTTTAAGGCACCCTTTCGTGAAAATCCCCAGGCTGCTGACTGGCCGCGCCTACTGTACCGCATTGGACACATCTCAAGCCAAGAACCGTAGACGTAGACCTCTATATTACATTCTAAAGCATGGGAGCGATGTACACCAACTCGGACTTTGTGCAGGAGCTCACTTTGGCTGCGCTGCATGGCGCTGCGAAGATCGAAAGGCTTGTGAAACGAGAGGACGGTTCTAGAAGCCGCTGTCGCCCAGAGAGCCCAAGGGACCCTGGGCTTGGACGCGCGGCTGCGGAAGAGAGCTTGGCCACGAGGAGGACTCTGCTATAGGGGAGAGGAGCTTGGCAAACTGGGAGACTTCGGACATGTCCGTGCCCAGTGCTTCAGCAAACTCCGAAGCTGTGGCAAGAGAACCGACGAAACCACCAAGGCCGCGGGATTGTGTGTTGTAGGTCAGGCTCAACACTTCATGGCCGAGTTTCATGTGCTGCAGAAGGTACTCTGAAGACGTCTTCAGCTCCTGCACTTTGCTTTTAGCCGCTTTAGCCTTGCAAAGAACGAAATGCCTCCAAGTCACATCAACCAAGCCTTTCTCCAGGGCATCCGCCCCAAACCAGACCTCGCCCGTAGCAACTTCCTGACAGAGTGGATGGACGAAAACCGTCTGTGAGGTGATCAGAGCTCCTCTATGTTGATGTTGGGGCGGTTGCCCTTCACGAACCGTGAGAACTGCTGATAAATTCGATTGACATCCTGGCTTGCACGGGTCGGAGTGGGCTTGTCTCCCAATTTCCCCTGGCTGCGGGCTTCTCAAGCGGGGCTCCTCCTTGGCTTTCTCCATAGCCTCCTCTGTGGGTTGCTGGAAGGGGTCGATGGTCCGCTTCCACTTCCCGGCCGTCGTCTGGATGACCTTCAGGCCCTCACGGTCCAAGCGCTCCACGGCGTTGGGCACGCCCGCGATCCTCGCAAAAAAAGCTTCCACCGTGTCTAATCGAACGTGGGTGGGTCTCAGCACCCAGCACGCCGATGCTGCCCACTGCTGCGAAGGGAGAGCACCTGCAGTTCTGAAAGCACTATTGCAAGCAGCCCGGCAAACAGTTCCGCATTCGCACGAGAAGCACTGCCGCTTGCTGCCAAATTGCAGGATAACGTCGGCGCAACAGGCCATCATGTAACCACCACTGGCAGCCAGCTCATCCACGCAGGCAACAAGTCGAACGCCCCTTTCGCGCAGACGCCTGTGCCAGGCTGCAGCACATGAAGCCCGTAAAGCACGAGGTGCAGAAAGTCTTGGGCTCTTGGGTCGGGACAGCAGCTGCGCAGCCGCTAATCCTTGTGGTAGGGAAACGAGAGAAACAAGAGAAGCAAGAGAAGCAAAGCAGTACTAGGAAACAACATGGAAGAACCATCTGAATGCTCCAAGAGACCGTAGCCCGTGACGGTACCTGGCAAGCTAGATGCTGTCACTTCACCCTCAAGAAAGCACGTATCGCCTCCTGGCGACTTGAGCTTGAGGACCACCTGAGCTTACTGAGTTACAGTTACCCATACATCAACACGCATAAGATATACTGATATACTTGTCATTCTACATATTTTCTTTGATTCTTGGGGATGCTCTCTGCTTCCCTCTTTGCTTTCTGTTCTTCTTTTCTCCTCTCAGTTCCTCTCCTTTTTTCCTTTCCTCCTCTCCACTCCCTCCCTTTCCTCCGTTCCTCCTTTCCTCCTTTCCTCTTCTTTCTTCTTTTTTCTCACCACGCCACTCCCTTCTCCTTCTTCTCCTCCTTTCCACTCTGTGCCTCGGCAGGGGGTTTCTGGGCTTCGAGGATGGCCGTGACCTCCTGGGCGAGGAGGTTCACCCCGGCAGCCGTTGGGTCGCCATCGAAGCTCAACACATACCTCGCACGCGCGATGCCGCGAGGGCGTGCCATGTTCTACTTGTGGCTGTGTGGGGGGCTCACTGCAGACGCTCCTGGTCCCTAGCTTCTTTTGCCATCACAGCCACAGCATGTCACCGCAGGCAACATTCCTGCATTCCTGCTGGGCCGCAGAAAGGGCATGCTCCGCATGGCATGTGAAACAGTGAGATTCATCTGTCCAGACACGCGGAGCACCCCTTGTCAGAAGAAGATCCTCCTTCCTCCGAAAGCCTCATCCGCTTCGCCTTGCATAAGTCCTCTGAGTCCGCGCCATGGCTTCGCTGAAAAGGAATCTTCACAGAAGCTCTGGCAAAGTCTTGAGATTCCTTGGGCCTTGAAACGTGCTACCTCAAGAGACTCTAATCTTAGAGGTGACCCTCGGCAAGCTGAAATAAGCTGAGATTGTACGTGTCTGAGAGCCGTGCACTGTGTTTGGCTTCTCGTGGTCCTTTTGGGATTCTTGAGCTTGATCAATGAGCCAGGTCAGATCGACGTTATCAGAGAGGATCTTCTTGAGGTTCTCAAACTTGGAATCGGGCACCGCCCGCTTGATCTCACTGATCAGCTCCTGAAAGAAGTGGTCAGTAAGCAGCGCAAAGAACAAAATCTTAATCCGTGCTCTTGATTGAGAAAAACCTTAAATTGCAAACAAATTTGCTCGGGAAATTTTAGGGTCAATGATAATTTTAAGAGGCAGCTTTAGGCCCCAAAAAAATTTCCCCCTTAAAAAAGCGATGTCTAGGTTTGAGGTTTAGTCAAAATTTAAAAGCTACGGCCTACATGTTGAAACCCCAACTTCCCAATAACAAAACCGATTCCGAGACCTGAATTGTTTATCAAAACTCCCCCCGTTACAGACCTTGAGTGCAAAGCTCTTTCCCTAGAAGAAGGGAAAACCCCCGGGAAAACCCCCCAGCACAATAGCAAATGTTTCCAAGGTCATCAGCTTCGCATCTTTTTCTTGGAATTTATGTAAAAGCCATCAAAAAAACTAGTCAAAATCGACTAGGTAAGCATGTGCGCCTCCACACGTTTACTTCACGCTGCTGTACTGGAAAAGGATCTGCGGCTCAGGACCTCAAGGTGCAGATTCCGGAGCAGAAAGGATCTGTACAGGAGTCCATACTGACTGGTTTCAGCCGGGCCATTAACATCCTCACACCCATGTCCTGACAAAAAGGGGCGAGCGGAGGGAGACTTGAAGCCAAAAGACAGCATGAAACGCTGTTTCGGCTACAGGCTCAAGCAAACATGTGCGCCTCCACACGTTTTCCTTCACGCTGCTGTACTGGAAAAGGATCTGCAGCTCAGGACATCCACAAGGTGCAGATTCCGGAGCAGAAAGGATCTGTGCAGGAGTGGTCCGTACTGACTGGCTTCAGCCAGGGACCATAACATCTTCACACCCATGTCCAATCTATCCAATCTTTTCTGTCTTGTATGCGAAAACCTCATCTTTATGAAGGTTAGATTTTCAGATAGCTCAAGTGGTCAATATCTTTCCATGTATAAAGATATCTGCAGATAAATATGTTAGTAGGAAAGTTCAGTCACAAGGTATTTCACAATATTCACTCAATGTTGAACATTCAAATCAAATCAACTCAAGCGGACTGAACCTTTTTTCCATGATACGGGATTGTCAGGCGCTGTGCCGGCTTTCACCAACGGTCGGGTAGGCACAGTATTTATGATAGATATATGCTGATTAAGATTCTCTGGAAGGAATCTTGGATGATAACTCTGAGGAAGATCCTCCAGAATAGGATCCCTTTTGAAATGTTCAGATCTCCCAGCTTGAGATCTTCACCCCCAGGGTTGGGTGGGTGGGTGATCAAAAATTTTTCCCCACCTGTTGAGCCAGAACTTGCATGATCAAGGTTCCAATCACAAACGATATGTTTCCATGATTGAAAGAATTCTTAAATCTGCAAGTTTCGCTCAAATGGTTTTTAGTTTTTCGCTGTCGCAATCAAGACAAAGCTAACGCACGCGATCGCGTCCGTCTTGTATGCGAAAACCTCATCTTTATGAAGGTTAGATTTTCAGATAGCTCAAGTGGTCAATATCTTTCCATGTATAAAGATATCTGCAGATAAATATGTTAGTAGGAAAGTTCAGTCACAAGGTATTTCACAATATTCACTCAATGTTGAACATTCAAATCAAATCAACTCAAGCGGACTGAACCTTTTTTCCATGATACGGGATTGTCATGCGCTGTGCCGGCTTTCACCCCCTGATTGGGCAGCCTGACCATCCCCTATGCCTCCAGAATGGCTAGAGGGCGCGTAGTAGCTTTCTTTACCGCTTCGACCAGCCATGTATGGTCTTGAGAGGTGATGTGCGACGCATCACAGTTGAACTCAATGCCATGGTGCTTGTTCCTCGACGGCGGGTCTCCAGGGTTGGAGAAAGATGCTACCCTCTCCAGCCAAACCATTGATGGCCAGATCATCTCTACTGCATGGTACACTCTGGCTAGGGCTCGAAGTGTCGGTGAGTCAGAGGTTCCCTTGATAAAGGAAAGTCGGGCTGACTCCTTGTCTATCCAGTTTATGGCCTTCCTGTTGGTCAGAGTCTTGGCGAAGCCGTGTCTGACGACTAGGGCTGCCCAGGCTTCCACTTCAGATATGATCTGCTGTCCTGCTTCCTTCACCCACATTTCGGCAAGATCGTCCGGCACTGGAATTTGACAGATCCAGGCATGCTGCTGAATTGGATCGAAAACTATTGCGCCAGCGCTCGCTACTTGGCTTTCATATGCTCCCTCTGTGAAGATCAGCGCAGGACTAAGGGGATCTGATGCCCTGTACGTCCTGGGCGGGGAGGACACAAGGAGTGCTTTGGCCAAGTTGCAAAAGGCTTTGATCTGGCGCGATGTCCCAGATGACACAAAGAGTGAAGTCAGGGTCTTGGTCAAGAAACGAAGCCCTCTAGCTAAGTAGAACCCGGCGGCAAAGTTAATGTGACCCTAAATGACCGAACTCTCCCCAGGCTTGAAGTGCCCTCTGCTTGCGATGGCGTCCAAGTCACTCGAGAGTTTCTCAATCCTTCCCGGCTTGTTGGATATTGTGAACTGCCCTCTGGACAGGTTTTCAAGATTCAGGCTTGCACCCAGAGCTTGGAACTCGGGAGAAAATTTTAGGGCCTTTTTGCCGTCTGTGGCGTGTGCCCACCCGAGAACATTCAGTATGGATGATGTAGCCATCCTCAAGATTTCATGCCCTTTCCTGGTCGTCAAGCGCCTGCGCCTCGAATGCGATGCGTCGCACAATTGCTTTCACCGGATCTGTCAAACGGTCTTCCAGGATTTTTTGAAGATGAGCCATCAAGGCAGTATCGTCAATCCCGCTGCTGCTACGCGGAGTACAGAATGCTTGGGCGAAAGTGGCGACGCTAGCTGCACGCAGGGCGTCGTAGACACCATCTGCCATGTGCATTTCTTGGCACCTGGCCTTCAACGTTGCCTCGGAATCTAGGGCCATGGCTAGCAAACAGGCGCAAGGACAAGCTGACCTCGAACCAGGGCTGCAGCACATACATCCCAGCACAACTTGTTTCCACTTAAGTGGAAACAAGTTGTGCTGGGATGTATGAAACGGGGGTTTACACGCTGCAATACGCAAGCTGCTTTTTGGTGTCTGAGAATAGGCTCACGACTCTGGCGCATCTGGCATCAAGGATGACTTGCCACACTAGGCGCGAAAGCACGTTGTTTGCCTGTCCAAGAGTTCAGCTGGAACTGTGGTATAGTTGCAGGTCAAGGGGCGACCGCACGCAAGCTTGTCGATTTCAGGTGGCAGAGGAGCGCGGGCTTGCAGGGCAGGAGGGTCTGCATCTGGCTGGCTGTCTGAAGAAGCTTCGGCTGAAGGTGTATCATCGGCCACCTGAGCGTATTGGGCCAGTTTGCGCGCGGGCGCGGCATCAGGCGTCTGCAGGCCTTTGGAAATGTCTTCGAGCATGTTCCAGACCTTGCCTTGTAAACGCAGCATGGCGTCACGGTCATAGGTAGCGGCGGACTTCGTGGAAGTTTCGGTGCGGTGGCCTTCGGGAAAATCGAGGCGACATTCCCGCCCATGTCAGCAGGGTAGTCTTGAGGGAGTGCGCACGACAGCGTTCATGGTGAGGCATGTGACCTGCCAGCATTTCGCGAAGCCAGGAGGTTGCTTCGGCGGTGGACATAGCATGCTGGGACCATGTTTCTCGCCCCCAGTCATAGGCTGGTAAACCAGAGTGGAACCCTTCTTGTTCGCGCAACTCAAAGAGAACTGGCAGCCACGGGTCTTCACCAGGCCAAACCCCGAGACCGATGTATGGGAACAATTCCACTTGGGCCTCTGCAGAACGAGCCAACTTGTGGTCGGTGGAGCCTGCCTCGAATATGACTACGGACTTATACTCATCCAAAGAAAAGTGCTGCATGTGCCTCAAGTCACCCCAACGGGCTACACCGAAGATGCCCAAGAGCAGATGACCTGCGACGAGGCGAATGTCGGCTATGAAGATGGGGGAAGCATGCTCTGTCTCGGAAGCTTCGGCAGCTTGGCTAGAGGGCAAGCTTTCAGGCTCATTCCATTGCGAGGGTTCGTCCTCACTAGAAAGTTCTGACGGGGCCTGCCATCGTTTCCTGAATCCCCTGGACATGGCGGGAGCCACGGAGTCGTACCGAAGCAAGTGTTCAACCTTAGGAGACAAGCTGCTTCACGTACGCAGGCGGGGAAAGAACTTTCTGCAGCGGTGCTGGATCCAGATGGGCCGTTGCCTGTTAGAGGCTGAACAAGGACCGAGGGCAGCACGTGTGGTGATCAGAAGCCAGCGCGGACTGTACCTGAAAGGTGCGCGAGTGACCCAGATTGTCACTCGTCCATTCGGCAGCATGACCCAGGAAGTCATGTGCACACAAGGGTGGCTGCCAGGCTGAGTTGGCGACCTCGAAAGCGCATCAACTTTGAATGCCACGTCGGCGACTGACCTGAAAGGATGCCAAGTGACCTTGTTTGGCTACAAGAGTGCTGAGATCAGCACAGATTACGTGGACCGGATGCCACTGCAGGGTGGACCTAAAAGACGAGCAAGTGACCCAGACTGCCACTGTCAGGAGATAGTGCGATGTCATGTACACAAAAATGATGGTTGCATTGTGAACTGGCGACCAAGATTTCGCGCAGCGCAATGAGTCAGCTTAGGTCAGGACTGAGTATGTGGACCGGATGCCACAGGAATCTAGACCTAGAAAAGTGGGCAAGCGACCCAGATTGTCACTTGCCAGGCTCTGTAGCATGACCCAGTAAGTCACGAATGCTAAGAGAGCAGGTTTGGTATTGAGCTGGCGACCACAGATTTCGCGCAGCGGAGGGACCTGGGGTGCACAGGCTAGCACTTGATTGAAAACAGAATGCTCTCAGCGGATCTCGATTCGCAAGCGGTGCAACCCAACCGACACTGTCCTTTCTTTTGAACTGTTGCACATCACGCAGAGTCTTTTGGAATGCACTTACTCTGTCTGGGCACCGGCCTGGTCCACGTCATTCATGAGAGCCAGAAGAACGGCAGTGATTGGCAAGG